AATAACCTCCTCAAAAGTAGCACCGATCACCATCTCTCTAGTCATAAGAATCTGCACCTGATATGCGAGGCCATCCACGGACCTCTTGATCATCTCCCTATCTGTGGGAACCAACCAAACAATAAGACGAGCTAACTTAGAAAATCTCATCTCGTACTGTGTCACAGTCATATCATCCTGACGCAACTACTCAAAACTGTCTGTGCAGCTCCTCTCTGCGGGACTGCGGCACATACCTCTCTAGGAAGAGAAAGGAGAACTGTTGCCAGGTAAGCCTCCCTCAAAGTGAAGGCAGCTCCAGAGAACTGAAAGGTAGTGAACGAGACCCCAATGGTCTCTAGAATACCTACTATTCGGAGAATCCTCTGACACTTATCCAAGAAACCCTGGGCATCCTCGCCCTCTGCACCACTGAAAGTTAGAAGCTGAAGTGTACCAAATCTCTCCAATCTATGCTTCTCATCATCAGGCATGACTGGTACGTGATAACTGTGATTCTGACACGTTTTACGCCCATACTTGCCTATGCTTTATGTATGATTTGCCATAAAACATTCCCAGAATGCTGATAAATTGCGCTTGATCGTAGGTTTGAGCAACAAGGTGACGAAAGTCAAAAATCGGTTCGAAACGGAGTGAAACCTGCTCAAGTGTCAAAGATCAGGAAAGCATGGATATTCAGAACCTGGTGCGGACCGCACCATCATGTCATGCGGCCGCACCATTGAAGTTCAGAGAGTGGCATTCTCAGTTCCAACCAATGCGGCCGCGTTGCAAGTTCATGCGGTCCGCACCACTGAAGTTCAGAGAGTGGCATCTTCAGTTCCAACCAATGCGGCCGCGCTACAAGTTCACGCGGTCCGCGCCACAGAAGTTCAGAGACCATCACAAGCCACTCATGCGGCCGCACTACAAGTTCAGGCGGTCCGCGCCAGTCATCATGCGGCCGCACTTCATCATTGTGCGGTCCGCGTCAACATCTTCAGAAAGCAAGTCTCAAAAGTAAAGCAACCCAGTGCGGCCGCGTGTCATCATCGTGCGGACCGCACAAACCCCGCAGGGTAATTTTTGTCCAGTTTTTCTAAACTTAGTATAAATAGAATATTTGCCATTTTTTAGGGAACAGATTAGATACAGAATAGCCGCTGCACTCGTGAGACAAAAGTCTTAGCCTATTTTGGGCATTTTTCATTGTGTTTAACGTGGATTCTTGTGGTTTTACCTTCTAGTTAATTAATATGTTCATTTTACCTATTTCTCCTTCAATTTCTGTTGTTATTATGGCTAGCTAAACCCATAAGCTAGGGTTGTGGCTCAACCCTAGTGTGGGTAATTAATGGGTATGATTGTTTAATGCTTGAATGATGTTGGGTGTTTGATATTTGGGTTATTTTTATGTTTTCACTTGGATTTGGTGGTTGCAAACACTAAGTCTAGCTTTCTGAGTTTTGACCCTTCTTGAGAAAGAGTGTCTAAGACTCCAAAATTAACCCAACAAGGAATTGGGATGGACCTATTAGAATAGTAGTCCAAATTAACGGGTAAAACCTCGAGAGACCAATTACCCAACTTGAACCCTAAGTTGCTTGGTTTGTTAGCCTACCCAATTGGTCTCGAGAGAGTCAATTGGGCAAAATCATTTTCTCTACCGAGAGGTGTGAGAGTGAGTGCTATCGTGCAACGGTTATATCATAAGCCCCATAATCATCATTCTCATATTAGGAATCTCTATCCGTTAGTTGACCACCTAGGTAAATGCCACGACCCTAGTGCCTTTCTCCATCTTGCATGCAACTTAGACTTAATATCTTAGCATAATTTAGTTATAAGTAGTAGTTTTTAAATTGTAGTTGATAATCACAAAGAAAAACCCAAAAATGATAGAAGATCAATTAGAAGCAAACTCGCATTTCTAGGCTAAACAAATATCCAACTCCCTTCCTAGCTCCCTGTGGAAATTGACCCCGATACCACTATTGGGTAAAAGTGTTAGCGCCCACTCTTCCAAAGGTTGAGTCCGCTGCAACCTAATCACTTTTTGGTGCCGTTGCCGGGGAGCTTACGGTGTTGACTATTTGTGTAGTTAGTTTTGTGGTTTGCTTCTCTTTCCTTCTTTTTACTAATTTTATTTGTGTTGATCCATCAGGTACTCATGGCTCTAAACGGAAATGACCCTCTTGGCAATGCCTTGGCGGGGGAGGAGGTTGAAGATGTTGAGCAAGATGAGCTTCCGGTACCTCAAGTACCACGGAGAGGTCGAAATGCCAATGCTAATGTACATGACAACAATCCTATTCCAGACCCTCCTCCGCCACCACCAAGAGCGGTCCCAAGAGTTCTTCCTAATCAAGGGTACGCAAGTGCCATCGTTCCTCCCCGAATC